GACACGAGCGGCAGCTTCACCCCGCGCCGAGAGAGCCGGCGGAAGGACAGAATCGACGGCAACTTCGTCAGCGGCATCGACAACGTAAAGGGGGAAACAAAGTCGAAGTCCTCCTGCTTCGTTGTGGAGCCCTCCTCCGTGGACTCGTCGGGGAATTTGAAGATGTTCCGCTGAACCCGCGTCCGCTTTAACGTCAAGGAGGTCTGGCTGATCGACGGGGACAGCTGGGGGAAGGTCGGGGAGGCGAGCTGGCTTTCGATGTGCTTCTTGAAAATGGAGCTCGGGACTTTGCTCAGGATGGGAACATTGATACCGTACTCCTCCTCTTTGAGGCTTTCGTCCATGATGGGAGTGGGAAGCGAGGTCATTGACAATGATGATAGCTATATATATATATATTGGGGTAGGTCTTTAGAATTGTATAGATCGATAGAGGTGTGTGGAAAGAGAGCAAGAGAGATGGAGAAAAATGCCACAAATAGGGTTGAAAAATCGAAAGGAAGTCGGATATCGGGATCAAAAAATGAGAGATGAAACGCACCACACAGAAAGAGGGGTTGCTATGCAGCGTTTGAGCTCAATGAATACGATAGGACCGTCATTTTCTTCTTTGGGAAACTGGAGTTTAAAATTCACAATTGGGTTAAAACCCCTTTAACCGTGAGCAATCAATAGGTCAAATACACAGAAAAACGGGAGCAAAGGATCTCGTATTCACTAAAAAGACATCAAATATGGTCCAAATAAGATGCAAATCACAAAGGACAAATCATGAAAAAGAATAAACAGAAATAAAAATGGAGCCGAATAGAAATGATTTAAAAATCCAAAGGGAGAAAAAAGTAAAAGATGCGAATAAGATGGACGCAATGATCAGTGCCTTTTAGAGAGGGGGGGGGCTAGAGCAGTACTATAAACATCCAAAACTATACAAAGGTTAACGTTCGTTCGTAAATCTATGGAAAACGCAACCCAGAAGTACCCTATCATCTGAAATAATAAACATTCGGAATGGTCTTTCAGGTGCACATAAACAACCTTTTGAAAAAGGCGTTTTTGTCCACCTTACCGTTTTTCTTCATGCCAGTGGTGCGGCTTTCCCCCCCGACGACGTTATCCCGCCCTCGCGCTCGATCGCGGGGACGTTGCGTTTGGGGGTTTCTATGGGTGGTTTCTATCGCATCCCGCGACCGCCCGCCCGGATCACTTCGCGAAGCCGACAACGCCGCCTCGTCGTTCGCGTTGCCGTTCCTTTCCGGTTTCGTTCGCAGGCCGTTGGGGGCGTTTCCCTCCCCGGCCCATTCCGCCCCCCGCGGAAGCCCCGCCGAGGAAGCGGCATCGCGATGGGTAGAGAAAGAACAGGGCGGCCGGGGCGGGGACGAAATGACGCCGGGATGGGCCGCTTTTCCATCCCGGGCGCGGTCCGCGATGTCGGATTGGGGCGAAGGATCCGCGTTTTCGCCGGCG